GATATTCTGCTATAACGATAACTGCTTAATATATTTCTCAAGTAAGAAAGGTTCAGAATAGTTCTCTCAGAAACCTAGGCGCTACAGGCAGATAGCAATAGCAGAGCAAGAGTATATGCTTAGCATGACTACAAGCAGCAGCAACTCGAACTGCTCTGATATTGCAGAACAGGGTATTCAAGCATTGGAAAAAGAACTTAGCAGCAATATTCTTCAATATTCTTCATTGCTTACGCCAAGCACTATAACTAGGGATATGAATAAGGGATGATACTCTCTTAGCTACTAGTATGAATATCTAAGCAATATAGAGAATGCTTTTCAAGCAATAGAAGAATCAAGCTAGAGCAAACAACCTAGCAGCTTGCAGAAGCTCTTCGCAAACAATATGCTCAACAAGCTTAAAGAAAGGTTTCCCTTCAGTATTGAATGGAATAAGGAAACAATATGGATTGAATATCTCATCTATAGAATAGAGCTAGAGAAGCTCTTCATCTACATTCTCTTGCAGAATATTGAGGCATGAGAAGACGAGAATTCTCGGATCAGCTTACTTTACAATCTATATTACAAACTAGCTTGGATTTCCTGCATCTATTATAGCTGCAAAATGCATTTCTCAGAGAAGATGCAATACGAATAGTTTCCTGTTAGAGAACCAGAATAAATCTTTCAAGCTGTTAAAGAATAGAAACTCTACTTCAGGAAGGTTTTCAATAAGCAATACTACAATGCATATATTAGGCTACCGGATGATTGCCCTATGCAATGTATAGATAAAAAGATAGAGTGGTAGTAGTGCAAGATAATATTCTGCATAATTCATATTAATAATAAAGTTTGCAACTAGTATTAATAAAAGAAAGACTAGGAATAATAATAATACAGGCAAAAGCAAGCTAAGAAGCTTGCTCAAGAAGCAGCGAAGCAAGCTCAGAAGAATAAGCAGTTCTTAACAAACCCAAAAGAACAGGATTGCTTGTAAAGAGACTGCAAACAATCAGATTAGAATAGTTCTTATATAAAGCTTCTAGAATAGATTACGCTTATATCAAGTTCAATATACATATTCAAGAATATAAATACAGCATATTACTGAATAGTGGCGCTTAGGAAAGCTTTATATCTCTATATATTATTAATCAAGCATAACTACAATGGAGATGAAAGAGATGCTCATATACTCTTAGTACTATAGAAGAATAATCTATTATATACAATTAAGAAGTAATCAATAAGAAGACTAATCATTTATCTATCTTGATTCAAGAATGCATAACCAGAGCTTCTTTTGATATTATGAATACAGTATATCATAAGCTGATTATAGAACTTTCATAGCTTAAGAAGCATAATCCTTGAATTAATTGAATTACTAGCTAGATCTTATGAGAACAAGCTGTATCTAGAGAGATAGTTATAATTAACAATGTAGGATTAAAGCTAGTAATTGAAGAATACTTAGAAAAAGAAGCTTTATACAACTTTATACATATTTCCAAGTTAGCAGAGCTAGCAGTTCAAGAAGAAGAATCTAGTAATAAGCAAACCCAAATAATGCTAGAGTGCTAACAGATTAGCAAAATAACGGAAGCAAGACTCTTAGCAAGTCAGTTCGTTCCGGAGCAATAAGGAAAAGCTTCAGAAAATGAATTGTAAATCTATATAGGAAAAACCTCGAAACCAAGCTCTCAAGCACTCGCTTCAGCTTAGAGCAAATACTTAAAGCTCTCGAAAACGCTATCAGAAAAGAAGCACACTCAACAGTATCTACTATTCCTCCAGATAGCAGAAACAGCATAAGAATCAGAATCAATACTTGCGAATATACTACAAGAATATTACAAGTTTAAGAAATTATTCCAGGAAGAATTGGATACAGGATTGCTAGAATACAGCTTATACAACTACAAGATTCCGCTATAAGAAGGAAAACAGCTCAAATTCTTCCCTATTTACAAACTAGATAAGGCAAGGCTAGAGATACTTAGGAAGTATCTCGATAAGAATCTTAAGAAAGAATATATACAATCATTGCAATCATCAGCAGAATATCCTATCCTGTTTGTATCTAAGAAAAATAGCAAGCTCAAGCTATATGTTAACTACAAGCAACTCAATAATATTATGATTAAGAACTGATACTCGTTGCTACTTATTAAGGAATTATAAGATAAGCTGCAAGGAGCATAGTGGTTCACAGTTCTGAATCTAAAAGGAGCTTATAACCTGATCAGAGTAAAGAAAGAAGAAGAATGGAAAACTGCTTTCAGAATACGCTATGAATACTACGAATATTTGATTATGCTCTTTGATCTAACAAATATTCTAGCTTCATTCCAGAAAATGATTAATCACGTTCTATGCAAGCATCTAAATCAGTTCATCATTGCTTATCTCAATAATATCCTTATTTACTCTTGAATACTGGAAGAATATAGAAAGTATGTGAAAACAGTATTGCAAATGCTTTAAGATGCAAAACTTCTTGTGAAACCTGCAAAGAGTTACTTTTATGTATAAAAGGCTAACTATCTTGGATTCACAATCGAGCCAGAATGCATTAAGCTATAGAAAGATAAGGTAGAAGCTATCAGGAATTAGCTAGTTTTCAGAAACATTAGAAATGTTAGGTTTTTCCTTGAATATATTAACTTCTATAGATAGTTTATCAAGAACTACAGCTGAATCGCATACTCTCTTACAAATCTCATTAAGAAGAAATAGCCTTTCGAATAAACCTCCAAAGCATAAGAAGCTTTCAATAAGATCATCAAGTATATTATCTCAGAGCCGATTCTGTATAAAGCAGACTCCTACAAACTCTTTGAAGTTGAGATTAATGCATTAGGATATGCACTCGAAGAATAACTTAGCTAGCGAGACGACTAAGGATGTTTAAGGATTATAAGCAACTTCTCAAAGAAGTTGAATAGCTCGGAGATCAACTACAGGATCCCTGATCAGGAACTCATAGCAATAGTAAAAGCTTTCAAGGAGTAGCAGTACTACTTCATTAGCATACAATATTCGATTATAGTTCACTCGAATTATAAGAATCTGATTATATTTATAATAATTAAGATTTTGAATAAATAATAAGTTAGATGAGCGGAATTCCTCTTATAATTCGATTTTAAGATTGTATACTGCAAAAGCTTGGAGAATGAATAAGCAGATGCTCTTAGCAGAAGAGCAGATTATCGAGATGCAGATTCTTCGGATATACAGAACATCTTCGCTCAAAACAAGTTGGAAAATCTTATTAATGCATATAGAGAACTGAATGCTGCTCTCAGAATAGAACTCTTGGAAAGAAATTCAGAATCAATGATTCTGAATAAATAAAACAACTATATCAAGGATATATATAGTGTACTAGCATATAAGCATCAGAGAATTAGAGCAATCTATGAATGCATTAGAAGATACTAGAACTTACTAGATTTTAGAAAAAGAATTAAAAGCATTCTATAATAATGCAATAGCTGCAAGAAGAATAAGGCAGAAAGATATAAGCTTTACAAACTACTGCATTCCTTACTAGTACTTATAACTATTTAGCAATTTATTAGTTTAGACTTTATTATCAAGCTACTTCTTTTATGAGAACCCTTAATTAAAGTGCAATATAATAGCATTTTAGTAATAGTTTGCAGATTGAGCAAGTATGCTTACTTTCTTTTCTATAAGGAAAGCAGTATAGCAGAAGAACTTGCATATGCATTTCTTAGAATGATTATTGCTAATCATAGCATGCTAGAAGAAGTAATCTCTGATAGAAATAGAAAGTTCAACTCGAAATTTTGAACTTTACTCATAAAATAGCTCGGAATATATTATAGAATGTTTATAGCATTTCATCTGCAGACAGATAAACAGACAGAAAGGATAAATCAGATTGTTGAATAGTATCTTCGATACTACATCAATCAGGAATAGAATAACTGAATTGATCTGTTGCTTCTTATACAGTTCGCTTATAACAGCGCAGATACGAGTACAATGAAGAAATCACTATTCTTTACGCTCTACGGATATAATCTAACAGCTTACTACAAGATACTGCAAGGAGCAGATGCAGAAGCTGCAGATAAAAGAGTTAAGAAGATTAAGAAAGTTCAGGAAGAATTCCGATTAGAACTACAATTCGTTTAGGAATGAATGATATAGTATGCAAACTCCAAAAGGATTGAGAGACTAATTCTACAGGAGGGAGATAAGATTTATCTACTTCGAAAAAACATCAAAACAACTAGATCTAGTAATAAACTTAATTACAAGAAGCTGGGATTATTCAAAATCTTGCAATAGATTTCCTCAGTTAACTACGAGTTAGTATTATTATACAGGATGAGAATATATCTGGTTTTTCATATCTTATTGCTAGAACTAGCAGTATAAGAAATATTAGCGAATAATATAGCAGAAGTAGAAAACAATGAATCAGAATATGAGATGAAAAAGATTCTTAAGCATCGAAGCATAAACAATACAAGGGAATATCTCGTTAAATGAAAAGATTATCCAGCAAGCAAAAATTTATGAGAATCATAGAAAAACGTTAAAAATGCTTAAAAAAGAGTAGCTGAGTATTGGAAAAGGAAGGAAACCAGTATCTAAGACAATCGCTCTGCTCCGGAGCGAGATCCAGAAGCCTCGGAAATCTCGCTCTCCAGAAAACCTAACCAATCCATCACTGCATTCCCTACATCTACAGAATTCCAGTCAAAACCCTCAAAAGAAGAATCTTCAGCAACTACAGCAGATTTCTCTGCAACCACAGAACAAACCCCAGCAGCAACGCAAGCTCGCTTTTCCTTAGCTTCTTCACATTCCAACTCCTCCACACTAGAAAGGCTTCAACGAATAGCTTTTATTATCCTCTCAAACTACAGACGCTTCTGCTTCTGCAAACGTTCTATCTCTGCAGCAGCATTGTGCAGCTGCTTCTTAGCACTCTCGAGTTGGTTTTCCAGGCATTAGTATTAAATACCTATCTAACGAATTTCCGCAGCGCTCAGTCCTTGAACATCGCACCAAGAACGACCCAGGCGGACACATTTGGTACAGCAAGAGGAATTCTCGATAGAGACTTGATAAGACTGAATACTATAATCCTTATAGAAGGAATAAGAAGGCATGGTAATGGCGTTTTGAAGAACTAAGGAAAGAAGAGAATTCTTTTGTTTAGTCTTCTCAGCATGAGAGCGAGATTTATTGATTCTGTTCAACATCTCAATTAGGAAGGCAAGATCATGTATACGGAGGACTTGCCAGGATACTTACAAAAGATTGTTGGGGACAACGACTGATAGGAGGGAGATGATGTTATGACTCATCCAACATGCAGGTTACAGAACAGGTTACAAATAACAGGAACCAGGTATCAAGGATGCAACATTCTGACAAAGCACTGATTACATAATCCAGGGTTAGGGTTATGGGCACAGCTAATCAGGAAGAATAGCTTTGGATATGTGCTATTCAGAGCTAGCAGGATAACTTGGATATGTTGCTATTCAATATATCCATACTGAAGAGCTGGATATATAAGGATACATTTATTCCCATTAGATAGATTCAGTACATAGCTCTTCAGTTATTAATCTAAGTATCAGATTACTCTCTACTCTGATAGCCCCAAAGGCAGTGAATACTTGCATCGCTTATTAAGACTTGTACAGTTCCGTATTCAAGAACTTGGCACTTTGATACCGCTCTTGTTAGCATAAACCCCCTTTGTGTACTTTGGAATCTTCGGATTGCTGCAGTGCTCATTACAGCTTGCTAGATAGCTTTTTCATTTGATAAGATATTCCCTCATGCTATCCATGCTTCTATGCTTGAGAATCTTTTCTATTTTATACTCTAGTTTATTGTTTTCTACTTCTGCTATATTATTCGCTAATATTTTCTATATTGCTGATTTTAGCAATAAGATATGGAAAACTGAATATATTCTCATCCTATAAGATAATACTAACTTATAATTAATTAGAGAAATCTATTACAAGATTTTGAATAATTCTAACTTCTTATAGTTAAGCTTGTTGCTAGATTTAGTTATTTTAATGTTTTTTCAAAGTAAATAGATCTTATCTTCCTTTTGTAGGATTAGTTTCTTAATTCTTTTGGAATTTGTATATTGCATTATTCATTCTTGAATGAATTGTAATTCTAATTGGAATTTCTTCTAAACTTTCTTAATCTTCTTAATTCTTTTATCTGCAGCTTCTGTATCTGCTTTCAGCAATGCCTTATAATAAGCTATTGGATTATATTTATAGAGTATAAAGAATAATAATTTCTTTATTGTGCTTATATCTGCGCTATTATAAGCAAACTATATAAGAAGTAATAAATTAATTTAGTTGTTTTATTTCTGATTAATATAGTATTATAAATATTATTTAATAATTTAATTCATTCTTTCTATCTATTTATCTGTTTATAAGTAAAATGCTATAGATATTCTGTAGTATATTTTAAGCTATTTTATAAGCAAAGTTCAAAACTTTAAGTTAAACTTTCTGTTTCTATTGAAAATCATTTCTTCTAGCATACTGTAATTAGCAATAATTATTCTAAGGAATGTATATACGAGTTCTTCTGCTATACTGCTTTCCTTATAAAGAAGAAAGTAAGCATACTTGCTTAGTTTGCAAACTATTACTAAAATGCTATTATATTACATCTTAATTAAGAGTTCTTATAAGAGAGATAGCTTAATAATAAAGTTTAGATTAATGGATTGCTAAATAGTTATAAATACTAATAAGAAATATAGTAGTTTATAAAGCTTATATCTTTCTGCTTTATTCTTCTTGCAGCTATTATATTATTATAAGATATTCTCAATTCTTTTCCTAAAGCTTAATAGATTTCAATATCTTTTAATATATTTATAAATTGCTCTAACTTTCTAATATTCGTATGCTGATATACTGTATATATTCTTGATATAATTGTTTTATTCATTCAAAGTTATTAATTCTAAATTCCTTTCTGAGAATCCGATTCTGAGAGCAGCGTTCAGTTCTTTATATATATTAATAAGATTTTCCAACTCGTTTTGAGCGAAGATGTTCTATATATTCAAGAAATCTGCATCTTAATAGTTTGATCTTCTGCTAAGAGTATCCGCTCGTTTGTTTTTTAAGCTTTTGCAGTATATAATTTTAAAGTTGAATTGTAAGAGAAATTCTGCTTATTTAACTTGTTGCTTATTCAAAACTTTAATTATTATAAATATAGTTAGATTCTTATGATTTAAGTAAACTATAATTAGATATTGTATGCTGATGAAGTAATATTGCTATTTCTTGAAAGCTTTTATTATTGCTATAAGCTTCTGATTAGGGATTCTGTAGTTGATTTCTGAGCTATTTAATTTTCTTAAGAAGTTGCTTACAATTCTTAGATATTCTTGATTATCTTGTTAATCAAGCTATTTTCTGAGTATATATTCTGATGCATTGGTTTTAATTTCAAAGGGTTTATAGAGATCTGCTTTATATAGAATTAGTTCTGAAATGATGTATCTGATGATTTTGTTAAAAGCTTCTTGTACTTTGAAAGTTTACTTGAAGAGTTAATTCTTCTTAATAAGATTTGTAAAAGAATATGCAATCCAGCTATAGTTCTTAATGAACTGCTTGTAGAAGTTGATATATTTAAGGAAAGATCTAATATTCTTAATATTCTTGAAAACTAGCTAATTTCTAATAGCTTTTATTTTATCTTTCTGTAGCTTAATGCATTTCAGTTTGATTGTAAATCCGAGATAATTAACTTTTTGTATATGAAAGTAGCTCTTTGCAGATTTTATAAGAAGCTTTGCATTCTGAAGTATTTGCAATACTATTTTCATATATTTCTTATATTCTTCTAATATTTGAAAGTAGATAAGAATATTATTAAGATAGATAATAATGAACTGATTCAGATATTTGCATAGAATATAATTAATTATTTTCTGAAATAAAGCTGAAGCATTTGTTAAATTAAAGAATATGATTAAATATTTATAGTATTTATAGCATATTCTGAAAGCAGTTTTCCATTCTTCTTCTTTCTTTACTCTGATCAGATTATAAGCTTCTTTTAAGTTTAGAACTGTAAACTATTATACTCTCTGTAATCTATCTTATAGTTTCTTAATAAGTAATAATAAATATTAGTTCTTGATTATAATATTGTTGAATTGCTTATAATCAATATATAGCTTGAGCTTGCTATTCTTTTTGAGTATAAACAGAATAAAGTATTCTGCTAGCAATTGCAATGATTATATATATTCCTTTTTGAGATTCTTATTGAGATACTCTCTGAGTGCTTTTAATTATGCTTTATCTAGCTCATAGATAGGAAAGAATTTGAGCTATTTTTCTTTTTATAGCAGAATTTCATAATTGTATAAGCTATATTCTAGTAATTCTATATCTAATTCTTTCTGGAATAGTTTTCTGAATTTATAATATTCTTATAGTATATTTGCAAGTATTAATTCTGATTTCTATGCTATTTCTGCTATCTGAAGGAATAGTAAATATTGTTAAGCATGCTTCTTTTCTGATAGTATTTTCGAAAGCTTTAAGCATTTGCTCCAAGCTGAATTGAGTACTCGAGAGCTTGGTTTCGAGATTTTTCTTGTATAGTTTCATAATCTATATTCTGAAGCTTTTCCTTATTGCTCCGAAGCAGACTAACTTGCTGAGAGTCTTGCTTTCATTATTTTGCTAATCTGTTAGCACTCTAGCATTATTTGAGTTTGCTTGTTACTAGATTCTTCTTCTTAAACTGCTAGCTCTGCTAACTTAGAAGTGTATATAAAGTTGTCTGAAGCTTCTTTTTCCGAGTATTTTTCAATAATTAGCTTCAATTCTGCATTATTGATTGCAACTATCTCTCTGAGTACAGCTTGTTCTTATGAGATCTAGCTAGTAATTCAATTGATTTGAGAATTATGCTCTTTGAGCTATGAAAGCTTTATAATCAGCTTATGCTATATTATATTTGTAATATCAAAGAAAGCTTTGATTATACATTCTTGAATTAAAATAAATAGATAATCAGTTTTCTTATTAATTACTTCTTAATTATATGCAACAGATTATTCTTCTATAGTGCTGAGAGTATATAAGCATTTCTTTTATCTTTATTATAATTATGCTTAATTGATAATATATAGAAATATAAAGTTTTTCTAAGCACTATTATTTAATAATATGCTGTATTTGTATTCTTGAATATATATATTGAACTTAATATAAGCATAATCTATTTTAGAAGCTTTATATAGAAATTGTTCTAGTTTAATTATCTGTAGTTTCTTTACAAGCAATTCTATTCTTTTGAGTTTATTGAGAGCTGCTTATTCTTCTAAGCCTGCTTCGCTGCTTTCCAAGCAAGCTTCTTAGCTTGCTTTTATTCATATTATTATTATTTCTAATCTTTCTTCTATTAATACTAGTTACAAACTTTATTATTAATATAAATTATATAGAGTATTATCTTGCATTGCTACCATTTTATTTTCTTGTTTATACATTGTATAAAGCAATTATTTAATAATTCAATATATACATTATAATATTATTTATTAAGAATCTTTCTGAAGCGAAATTCCTATTTTTTAATAGCTTAAAGAATTTATTCTAATTTTCTGATAAAGAATTATTCATATTGCATCTTATCTGAGAAATGCATTCTGCAGCTATGATAGATGCAGAAGATTCAAGCTAGTTTGTAATATAGATTATAAAGTAAACTAATCCAAGAATCTTCGTTTTATCATGCTTTGATATCTTGCAAGGAAATGCAGATAAAGAGCTTCTCTAATCCTATTTCATAAATAAGATATTTAATTCATATTGTTTCCTTATTCCATTCAATACTAAAGAAGAATCTTTTTATAAGCTTCTTGGATTTATTGTTTATAGAAGATTCCAGTAAATCATTAGATTATTCATTCTAGCTTGATCTTTTTATTGCTTGAGAAGCATTTTCGATATTGTTTAAGTATTTATACTAATAATTAAGAGAGTATTATTCTTTGTTCATTTCTCTGATTATAGTATCTGGTATAGATAATGAAGAATAGCAAAGAGCACTGTTATTAAGCTCTTTCTCCAGCGCTTAAATGCTTCGTTTAGTAATATTGAAGCAATTCAAATTATTGCTGCTCGTAATCATGCTAAGCATATACTCTCGCTCTGCTATCGCTATCTGCCTG